CAGCCCTATGTTGGCCATCTTTTGGGCGACCAAGCCTACCCGTTGAGGCAATATTTAATCACCCCTCTTAGGGCCCCGAATACACCAGCTGACAGGGCATTCAATGTTGTGCACAAAAGAGCAAGACAGAGAATTGAAGATACGTTCGGGTGATGGAAGAGTCGGTGACTTTGCATTCAAAAATTTGGTTCGTATTATATTTATACTGGTTTATAACATTAAACATGAGCTTTTCTAAAAGGCTTGTTTTTCCCAATAAATTAGGTGATATAATAGTTATAACATTTTATGTACAGTAAATGGAAAGTTACTTTGAGATTGAATACTGTTCGTTATCTCCATAACCTTCTTTTTATCTGACGTGAACAAAATTATACTCTAAGAATAAAGAAAATTCATATACATGTAATATTGTAATAGCATAATTGTAAATATAAAAAGCAATCCATTTCTAATTTCCATTGAGCCCCGACCCTACCCGGGGGGGGGGGGGGGGGGGATGTGGTTCAAAATTTGAACAAATTTGACCACTACCTGGAGGATGTTTCCATATCAATATGTCTTATCATTGCTTTTCTTGTGAATCCAGATATTGTTAAATAGGATATCCAACGTAAAACAAACAGTAAGACTCATATCTAATCTATTATCTCTCTATCTATTTATCTCACACACCCTACCAACCCCCAATTAAAGAGTCCCCCCTTCAGTTTGCTGTATTTACTATTGATTTTTACCTTTCCAAGTAAAAACGATATAGGCTTTGTACATAGCATAAAATGTCCCTTTAAGAGGCATATCTTAAAGCAATATGAGCTGCATTTTTGAGAATTTTATTTTGTTGGTAAAATGTGTTATTATGATTAATTTGTATGTAATCTAAACCCTCATGATGAATTAAACCAGAATAAAGTTTAAAAATGTTTCAGAAGATATATTTCTGTAAACTGAATATACAGTATTATAAAAAAACCATTATTGTAGGGACAACAATAATTCAATTTTGCTTCAATCAAGCTTACAAAAATTCTTGAATAGCAAATATAAACAACAAAAGTTAATAAATGTTTTAATTTCCTGTCAATAAAATAGTTTATTACAAATTTAAAAATTTTTTCCGATGTCAAACATGCAGCTCATATTGCTTTAAAAGAGCAGTCATTATGATTGGGGAAATGAAATGTACTTTACAATAAGGTATTCAATGAAATTCTAATTGGTAAAAAAAAAATCCCAGTTAATTTTTATTAATTGTATGCATTAAATGATAACAAGACCTTTTTAATAAATTTTAAAAATCCAATGTACCGCATGAATTGTATATCGCGTTATGAAATATAATGACTCAAATATTGTGTGTACACATGTATAACTGTTAATATTTTGGTCAATACGCTTCCTGAATGATAATTTACAAAAAATGTAGAAGATATATTCGTAGTATATATATACTCAACAAAAAAAAGAAACGCATATTCAGATTAATATGAAAATCTAAGTTTTAAATTTAAACCTTATTTTATTTAAGTAAACTTAGAGTGTGTTGTGATAAAAATCAAATATGTCCTATGTTGCAAATTGAAAAGACATGATGATGTCATTTTCATAACCCCCAAATTCAAGGGGCATAACAATATGTATTATTATACTTTCATGTTAAATAATTCTCATTACGTCAGTTGCGCGTTTGAAAGAACCGGAATAAACTTGATGTAAATAAAAGCTTGCGTCTGATGTAGCTTACTTAAAAACAACAAAAGACAGACGAAACATGCTTGCGAGTGCTAGATAACGAAAGTTTAGATGATGATAAAAGACTCTTAGAGTATCAAATAACAATAAAGAGGTTAGTAAATCTTTTTCGAAGTAGCGGGGAGTTTGAAAGCTTTCTATAAACGTGAACATAAAGACAATCGACGATTTTTTTGCAGATATCTTTTAATCAAAAATGACATTCAGTATAATAAAATAAATGGTGCCTGTTTTGGAGGGTAACAGTTGAAATTGACACCCCTCGGAAAACCATTGTCAACCTCCGCTGACGCGTCGGTTGACAATGGTTTTCCTTGGGGTGTCAATTTCAACTGTTACCCTCCAAAACAGGCACCATTGATATACTGTGCGACGTTTCAACGCTGGTGGGTTTCCAATGTACGGATGTCGTGGACGAATACCATCTCCTCTCAGTCGCTTGTGAACAATTTGTGCACTTTAATACTGATTTCTTCAACCGGCAATGAAAATAGACCCCTGATTTACAAGAAATAATATAATATATATCGATACTTGTATATTTCTATTCAATCACATTCTTCTTGGTCTTAAATAATTTAAAAATAATACTTTGACAATGATACCAGTAAACCACACTTTATTTTTTTCCGTAGTGATGACCTCGATAATTTGTTATGGGTAAATAGATTTATTCCTCTCTATTAGAATGTATTTCCTAAATGAAATAAAACTACAAATGACTTCAAAAGTCTAACAGTTAACTCATTACCAAGCTTATGTACCGGTATTACACATGTGTATACTATTCATAAAAGCAGAGCTAAAGAGTTCATATTCATCAGAACCTCCAACTGTAGCACTGGAGACTGTCGTGGATAAAACTGACTCTCCTGGTAGCTTCAGAAACGCTCTTCTTCCATTGCAAGACGACGGCGTTCTATATTCAGTCGCTCCTTTTCCATTCGTAACCTTTCCTTATCCACCTCGAGAGATTCTCTCTGAATCTGCAGGATTTCTCCTTGTAAGGTTAAACTAAAACGAAATAATAACTCAATCATAATTTAGTACAGGAATTACACGTGGGAATACTGTAGACGTACTTTTTTCCACGGAGTCATAATTTCTCTTTAATCCGCGGGTAGAAAATTACGCGGATTTCTTAGACTGTCACTATATGCCTTATATTTATGTTAAGTACGCTTGGACAAATTTCCGCGGAAAGTTTGTGACCGCGTACATAGCGTAAATTAATACCACGTGGAAAAAAGTACTTCTACAGTATTTTCATAACGGGCGAAGAATTACTTGAAATCTATGTTTAAGCCGAATGCAGTGGCCATTTTTGCCGACCTCTGGAACATCAATTTTATTTTTTATCTTATCTGAACTTTACAAGTTATTTAAGACACGTATGAGAGGGCTTATATAGGCTATGCCTGCTGCCCAATCCATTTATGTATTTTACATAATAAAATATGTTCAAATCAAATCAAATCAATTTTATTTTGTATTTGAAACTTATTATATACTTCTTTTACACTCTTGTGATTTGATATCTTTGTGGTACTCTTATATTTTCGCGGAACATTAACTGACAAGGTTGGAAATATACAGCTTACGTCATCTCTATCTGTAACAGACAAAACATTCAATGTTAGACAGTGAAATGGGCGGGTATACAATTCGACGCGGACGTGGGGAAAACATCTGATTTAAATTGCAGATTGAAAATCATTTTCAATCCACCTTAGCTGTTTTCAAAGCAAAGAGTGAATGTTTGATCAAAAAATCAACTAATTTTAACTCCCAAATAGGCCGACATATTGTTTGAAGTTCACTTTAATAGGAGTTTTAGCTTGTACTCTTAAGGACGTGAAAGGTCATAGAAGACAAAGATTATTTTTCAGGAGATATTAGATTCTAGGAGGGAGTGTAAAAATTGTCGAGTCAGATAGCTTTGTACTAATTAATTTTTAGGATGACAAGAGCTTTTTTAGTTTTGTCCTTAATGATTTTTTTTTTTTGACAACTCTTATTTTTTCCCAAGATCATTAAGCCCCCCCCCCCCCTCCCTCGCGCACTTACATATTAAATTATACAAAACAGAAATCAAATATTTGTCCCATCAAACATTTGTTTGAAACAATGGACAGAAAATTGTGATTTATATAATATAAATTCTCTTCAAACTATACCAAAATTCGAACTAGTGCTAATTGTAACGGGGACCGTTACAGATGTTCCCCAAACGCTCCCCAACTCCCTTTTGGTGCCATATTCCCTGTAAGCTTCAATAAATAAGACAAACTCTATGCATTTGGGACTTTTACAACGTTTACCAAGAAGTGTACCAAGTTCATTCAAATTTTAGCATTGCACGTGTGCGCATGTGAATGCATGTGCATAATGACCATATCATCTTGTCTACACAATCCAAATATTTTGATATACTAAATATTAAAGTATTTAATCCAAAAGTATAAAAAAAAAATACGCTCATTCAAATGTATTTTTGATTTTAATCATTTCACGTAAACGTACGTGCATACATGAGCATGGTGCCCATACCCTCTTTAAGAAGTCCATTACATCTATCTATGTTCTAAATCTCACCCCGTTTGGTTGAAAATCAAGGGAGTTATAGCTGTTTAAAGTTTAAGCCAATCAGATTGCAGCGCACGTACATGAACGTGTATCCATGCGCATGGTGACCATACCTTCTTGTGGAAGTTTATGTCTATCTATGTTCCCAATCCCATCCTGTTTGGTTGAAAACCAAGGGAGTTATAGCTATTTAAAGGTTAAGCCAATCAGATTGCAGCGCACGTGCATGCACGTGTTTTCATGATAATTGCTATACATTGTGTTGTAGGATATCCTAACACATGGCTATGTTCAAAATTTCAAAGGATTTTGTCAAAAAACAAGAAAGATATTTAGACTTTAGTTTCAGCCAATCAGAGCAAAGCGCACGTGCATGCGCGTGAGATCTTGCTATTTTGACCATGTCATATTGTCTCTGCTACTAATATAACCTTATATTATAAATTTCAAAGCATTTCATCAAAAAATAGAAAAGTTACTTATATATCAATTAAATCGGTCATTTCACGTGTTGCACGTGCACGCTCTTGCAAGCACGTGCGCGCAAAATGACCTTCATTCCCCAAATCTGCATAACATGCCTACTGACCCTAAAAAGGTTTTACCAAAGTCGGATGTATAGTTTACAAGATCACTCCCGGACAAAAAAGTACCCAGGAAGAAGAAGAAAAATAATAATAACTAGAATCTTGTTGCCATGGCAACAAATAAGTCTTCCGTTCTTCTAAATCTGTAAGAATTTGCCTTTTTCTGTGCAAAAACATAGATATCATATGTACTCTGAAAGAAAAAAAAACTACAAAAAGGTCTTTCAGTACTTAAGGTACTTTGATTTTCATGATCAATCTTATTCTGATGCATTTTGGCACTCACAAGAGCTACACGTGTATCATAGACAAACCAACAGACAAACGAATACCGTACTCTCATAAACTTCACTGTGTTTATGTTCTGACACAATTGTGATGGTGTTATAAAAATGTCATGAACTAAGTTAGTACCACATTAAACATAAAGTCGTTGATTTTTAAAGTAATAATATCGAGATTTGCCAGCAGAAAGATTATTCAATTACGGGAATTATTCAGCAATCGATTAATTGATTATATGTTGTTTAACGTCCCTCTCGAGAATTTTTCACGTGGAGAAGCCTCCACTCGCCGGTGGAGACTGCAAAATGTTGTCTATTGCCATTGAGCAGTGAGGAATCATTTTGAGCCAGTACGTACCATTTGACACACGGGACCTCGATTTAAACGATCTCATCTGAAGGACCGGTTTTCACGTGCCACAATTAAAGTCCATAATACGGATATAACTCTAGCCATGTTTTTATTTTATTTTTCTTTTCACAAATTTGTTGCATCAGATTTACTTAAAGATCATACTTAATAAAGATCATTTCGAACAACTTCATTGCAATGCATACAGCGTCCGATGATTTTGATTGACAGGTGCACTTCGAGTGATACTTCTTAAGCAGAAAAATATACAGAGAGTGACTGTGATGGACTATGAAATCAGAAAATATTTAATAAAGAAGGGGTACAACTGATATAGAACTGATTTTTTCTATGTAAATGTAAATAGGATAATCGGGATTAAAAGGGAATCTCTCTCTCTCTCTCTCTCTCTCTCAGACATGTAAATTTCAGTATCTTGCGTAATGAAAAATCTACTATTATAGAATATGAATTCTGTATACATGTTAATGGTAATTATAACCAAATGTTCCAGATTTAATTGTATAACGAATTTATAATTCAAAGGCTTATAGTCAATAATGTCTCTGAATAAAATCAAGAGGGGGGCTTCAAAAGAATTACATACTCGGTAATTTTATGTTTTATGAATTAAAAGGAAAATACCCCTGCGAGATGATCATGAATAATTCATGAATTTCCTTGAATTTTTCATGAATTTTATTCATGAAATGTTCATGAAATGTTCATGAAGATCCTATGAACTTATTATTGGACATTTTCAAATCATGAATTTTTATTCATGAAAGAAAATTGATGAATATTCATGAATATTATTTTTCATGAATAATTCATGAAGAGTCATATTCATGAAGATTCATCATTTCAAGAATGTCCAATAATAAGTTCATTGCATCTTCATGAACTATTCATGAATAATTTGATGAATTTTTTCAGGAATGTTCATGAATGAATAAAATTCATGAACCATTAACATTCATGAATATTCTTGCTTATTTGTAAACAAAAAATGCAGTATTATTATTCATGTTTATTCATGAAAATGCATGAAGTCATGCTAAAAAAGTAACAGTAGATGATTTATAATACAGCATCTTGAAAGACTTCACAGAAATGTTGTTTGTTTTCCAACCATGGCAACAAAATCTTTGTTAAAAAAATTAAAATAGACAATTCTGACACATTAAACCATAGTAAATGAGTAATGTAGTTCATTCCTGGTAAAAGTATAAAAAATTTCAATTCAAATTCAACTCTTTGCAGAATGTATAACCTTACTTGGTCAAATGGAAGAGGGGGATCCTTCCTCAGCATGTTTCAAATTGTGTTTTAATGCCAGAAATTGAACAGTTTTTAATTCCAGTCTAGGAGAAAAATTTGTTCAGCACCAGGGTAACAGTTTTCAGTGCTTTCAAGCAGTTTGAGCAAAGATTAAGATGGTCAATTCAAAAATCCTTATTGTCTCTCCATGTGAAATTTCCAGAATTTCATCATTTGGATCCTTTGATTGAATATCATTCATATTTTCATTTCTTTTTTTCTTTCTTTTTCAAGAGCTCAGATTTTTGTGCAGCCAGAGTTTCTTGTCTTCTGCTCATCAACATTTGTGAACTGCTTCTCTTTTTCCTTCAAAAAGAAAGATTTTCTGAAAGTACCCATGATTGTAAAACATAAGACTTTTTTTGTATTTTCTTGCATTTTACTTTCATTTAATTTTGCATCAGAGACACTTCCAAACTAAAACATTCTGAGTGGAATTTAAGCCTATTTTCTTGGACTGCCATTTTGTAGATCAATCAGGCCAATGAATGTTTTGAGTCTCAGTCTATAATTAATGTATGTTATTTGGTTGGATCCAAACTCAAAGCAAAGTTAGACAAAAATTGCATTAAAAAAAGAGACATATTAATTTATCATAATGTGCTTTAATTAGTTGTTATTTTACAAATAGACAGTAACATTTACAGACAGATTTCTGACTCGGTGATTGCCTCCATTTTTTTTCACTCACCAGTTATGAAGTAGATCGATCCTATATATAGTCTTCCTTCTTCATATTCTGTTATTTTCTTAAAAAGTTGAGAAAGATCAGTGACTGTACTGTTTACTGGACACACCTTGTGAGAGGGTGAAAAACTACAGATTACAAAAGCAAAATAAAAATTTGACAAAATATTAAAATCATAAGCAATCATACAAAATTAAATGCGTAACTTTAACATGTGAGCTGAACTGGCCTATGCCTATCGCATGCTGGAAATGCGCGGTTTTACAAAACTTTGTAGTTGCAGAATTTAAACATGATAAAATATATTGCATAATACTGTTAGATACAGATGATCAAGTTAGATATAAATTCAAGTAAAACAATATAAAACTTACTCCTTAGGGAGGCCAACATCACCAAACTTAACAGCCAAAACGCATGGCTACCATAATATTAGTATAAACAGAATATTGAACCCGATCGAAATAAAATTATGCAATACAAAAACGGCACAGTGACTATGCAAATAATAGATCACAAATACTGATTCTTCCACTCTACAATTCCCACTTCCAACGTCTTGCGCGTTTTCAAGTTTGCGTCCATTCAAAAATGTACGGTAGAGCTAAGAAATACGTTAGTTTCGAATTTCCAAGATTGCCGTTAAAAAAAAATTACAAACACTATCTGAATAATTTTTCACTGAAAATACAATTTTTTATATCAAAATAAGTTTTATCAATGAAGAATTCGAATTTTTACGTCATAAATTATACATGACTTTTAGTATCGTATAGCAAGTATGGCGGCCCTATATGACATGATAATAACAATCTCTCGCCCTCAGACAGAATATTCTGAGCTGTGAAGATGCATAGGAGAATTAAAACTACAAAATACGAATGCGGATTATATCATAGATACTTTACAACCATGCAGTCTGTGCTCTATCATTTACGCACGAAGCAAGGGAAACTTTTGACATTTTAACTGCACCAAAATTGAAATGTATATAGCGTTTCGATCCAGGAATAATACGGTACAGTACAGACAAGTGATATAACTTTTTAGTTGTTGATAAATATATAAAACGATTTTTACGAAGCTCACAAAGTTCATTTTCCAGAATGTTTCATTTTCCAACAACTTGTTTAAAGTTTGATGTTAGAGAAAATTCGGTCGAACAAAGTTGTGTGATGAAAAACGACATTAAATAAAGCACGTTATGAATATAACTGTTTAATTTAAATTATGAAGAAACACAAGTAATGAATTTGAAAAAAAAAATGCTGTCAATGGTGATGCACTGTTTGTTTAATTAAAATCAAATAAAAACACGAAATGTTAAGAGATTTCATGATTTATTTTTTCAGATGGTGAAAGAATGTTATTAACTATAAATTATACTAGGGGCTTGTTCAACAATTGCATCTGCATGCAAAAGTTGTATTATGAGAGTATTGAGTGTTTTCTGTCAATCATTTTTGTCAATTATTTTAGTCTTCATGGAAATTCATGAACATTCATAATACCTTGAACTCTACATTTTTTCTGTCTTTAAAATGAAAATTACCAATATTCATATATATTCATCATTTGTTCATGAACTACATTTTATGAATATATTCATGAATAAAGTTCATGAACCATCTTTATGAACCAATCATGAACCAGTCATGAATACATCATGAATGTTCATGAACGATTCATAAAAGTTCTTGATATTATGAATTTCACCTCGCAGGGGTACTTAAGGTTGCATGTACATACATATGATTATATAGCATTGCATAAAATTGTGTTCATTCGTATACTTTATCTAACATATCAACAGACCTTTGCAGATGTTTTTGTATCATGTTTTTAGCGTAGCATTATTTCACACAGAAACGCGTAACTTTCACATAATGTTAACCCTTTGAGTACTAGTATTTCACAAAAATCCAAGAATCGCTTTTTTTCATCTTTAATAACTTCTCGGTTATATGAAAGTATAGATCATGTATAATAAATAACACTATAAGACTTTTAATCAATGAAATATACGTGTTAAAACCAAATCCAATCTAAAGATTGATTTTCTTTCTTTTAAGTTGCAGATATCAATTTATTTCTAAAGGCTTTACACCTACTCTTCTTTCTCTCAGTCCCCTTTTGAGTACATATAATATTTTAGAATCGAAAATAAAACTCGGATTCCGGGACAATTTCGCATTCAAATTAGAGAATGAATTAAGAATATTTTTTTTTAATATAATCATAACAGACATTACAGATTTACACTACGCTGACAACTTTAAACTATGCATATACTGAAAGCAGTAACCAACGTAATCTTTCATGCAGAAGTGCATATGGAAACTCAAAGTCTAATTATTTTTTTATGTGAAAAGTGTGGATATAGACGTTTGCGACGTCATGGATACTACCTCCGCCTTTATCTCGAAAGTTCTATTCCCACTTACAAGTCAGAGTTATCGATCTTTGCTCATTGTCACTAAGTAAATAGAGAAAATGAATTTATTGACCGAACCTTAAATCTCCAAAATGCAGAATCCGATTGAATAAATAATATGTTAAGTATTTTTGTAGAATAATTTGTATATACATCGCTGTAATGTATACTGCTTACAAAATTATTTTTTTCAAAGTGCTTAGTTGACACAGAACGGACATTTTTTTTTAGATATAAATTTGTAAATCAAAAACTTTCAATTTACAGACTAACACTACACAGCCAAATTTAAACTAATATGCATATAGTGAATTAAGTAACATGCAAAAGAGAGAATATTGAATGTGTAAATATGTTGATCTGGAGAACTTATATATGTCTCTAACGTCATCAATACTATTTCCGCCTTTATCTCGAAAGTTCTTTTCTCATTCACAGGTCAGAGTTATCTTTCTTTGCCCACCTTATACATACTACGTAAATAGAGAAAATTTCGGTACCGAAAATATACAAAATGCGGAATCTGATTTAAAAACAAATTATATATTTAGTATTTGTAGAAAAATTTCTGTTTTACATAGGAATATCTTGAAAAAATATCTAAAAACAAAAGAATCAAAAATTGACCAAAAACAAATTCACTTCCGGTTCGGACAGGAAATACTGGAAACACACGAAAACAACTTCAAAACAAATAGAATATCATGATCTAATACTCCTGTAAATTTCATATCTTTACCTAAAACCGTTTCCGAGAAAACTGCCGGACAAAAGTCCATTTTAAAATTCGAAAATCGGCCATAACTTCGGACCGGAAGTGAATTTTTCAATAAATGGAGTTTTATATAAACTTCATATATCAACCTACTTACACGAGAAAAATTGTGAAAATCTATCCAGCCATCTCTGAGTAATCGCGCTCACAAAATTTGGGAGGAATAATAATAATAATAATAATAACTAGAACGATCTCGTTGCGAGCAACGAGAGGTCTTCCGTCCCATTCTGAAATAAAATGCAAAAAATCTAGCAGAAAAAGTGATTAAAAAAAATCGGACATTCGGGGGAGCGAACCCGGGTCGCTTGCGTGACAATCCAACGCGTTAACCATTCGGCCATTGAAAACACCGCTTCAAATTTTTAAATGCAAATATCTCGAGATTGGCTTTTTCGATTCTAAAACGAATTACATATAACGCATTCGCAAATGAGTCTCTATTTAAATTATTAACATCACAAAAAAATATTGAATAACAAAAAAGTTGGAAAATTGCATTTTTTAAATACCCTTCCGGTACAAACCGGAAGTACTGACGACGCACAAAAAGATGATTCCGCAAACCACAAAGTCATGATCTATCATCTCCAATTAGTCTCCAGTTCATATACTCAGCCATTTTCGATAAAAAGGGGCGACAAAATTGCATTTTAAAATCAGGAAATTGGCCATAACTTGGAACCGGAATCGTATTTTCCAAATTTTCCTTCAAAAGTAACAACTTCATATTACAACACATATTCTGTGAAAGTTTCGTTGAAAACCGCTGAATAGTTCTCGAGAAATCGCCTGCACAAAATTTTGTCAAAAAAAAGAATAAGAATAAGAATAATAACTAGATACGATCTCGTTGCGAGCAACGAGAGGTCTTCCGTCCGTTTTAGGAAAAGAAACCCACGTAAAATCGAGCTGAAAAGAGAATAAAAAATTTTGGTCACAAGGAGGATTGAAACCATGTCGCCAACGTGAATGCGCTTTTTTTTTTTACTTTTATATCCCCAACGCGCTAACAATTAAGCTATTGGGAGTACTGCTCTAAATATACTTGTGTATACCACGGTACTTTTGCAACAGTCTGTCTAAGAATTATAAAAAGCATTCATAATTTCGCGCCAAACGCCACGAGTAAATATTCGCGCCTTTTCTTTGGACTGATCTATAACATAGGTATGATAGCATCAATTAAATTTTAAAAATAAAACATTCTTAGCGCCTTTATTTTATTTCGACGTTAAGAAAGTATATGTAACACATTATACACATTACATATCGTATCTAGCCCAGTTACACTAAAGCAGTGAAACGGAAATTAAGTTTTAAGATTGACACTCAATTGCAACGTACTACTGTAACGTGTCGGATCTGAGCGGTCAGTAGGTCCGTGCTCGGATTACCGAGTTTTACTAGGGATATGATTGAATGCAATATATACAGATAATAATATGACACCTGCCTGGTGTCTTTAAATCAAATGACCTAAGTGCTTTGTATAATTATATATCTTCAGTTAATACCGGCACCTGCCTTGTGCCATCTGATAATTGCCTCACTATACTCGTATAACTGACTATATAAGTCAACATCTATCTGCCTGGTGCCTCTTGATTTAGCCTTTAACACCTGCCTGGTGTATTACTGCTTATCAAGCTGCCTATATAACTCTAGCCAAGTGGCTACAATATACTTACACAGTATGATATAACTTTGTAAGAGCTTCTCTGTCCTAATGACAAACCTACAGCTAATGTCACGCAACTATATTTTAACTAGTCACTAACTACAGCAACTTTGCACAATCCATGATTTGATCGTTACACCAATTGGATTCTGTACCAAAGTGAAGATACAAGCCAGTTGGCTGTACTGCCCCCTTGTACCTCAACTTAATCAATGATCATAAGTTATCAGATATCATATTGATAAAATACAACAGACTGCCTTTCTTTTGGCAACACTATTATTATTTTCTAACAGAACATCATTTATCAATAATACTTGTATAATTCTTTTGTCAATTGACCAATTAATTACAATATTTTTATTGATTAGCTATTATAATATAAACAAGTAACGGGACGTAACTCCTCCAACCATTTCACTACTACGTGAGAGTCGAAGTCGTTTTTTACATTTCATGTATCCTTATGTCAGAATCGTTTAATCAAACGCTCAGCTGCCTCCATAAACCCCTACTCGCGAAATGGCGGAG